CTGAACAAATGCCTGAGACTCCATTTCAATTAAGTCTTCAGTGGTCTGGGGATATTCCCCCATCAAAGACGGCCTGTTTCCAGGCGGGATTTCGGGCGGAGGTTCGAGGTTTCGTTGAACCTCGGAAGGCGAAGCCTCTATAGTGGTGTCCTCGTCGTCGCTCTCGTAGGCCATGATGTTGCCTGGGTTCCCGAACATCCAGTCGAAGAAAGAAAGAGGCTGGTTTCCCAGCGTACCGTGGTCCACGGGAGTGAGCTCGTTATTGCCCATAACGAACCGGCGGACGTACTCGAGGTAGTACGCGTACAATCCATGACCACACGCCTCGAGCTCGTCGACGTTGTCCATGCCAACAACCCAAGTGAAAAATATCTGCTCCATAGCCTCAAAGTCCTGGAGGCTCAGATACTCAATGGATGGTTCACATGAGCCAACATGGACTTCGGTCGACCTGCCCTTTCCATTTCCCTTCACTGGACAATCTCGCACAAGATGATCGGAACTACCACATTCATGGCATTTAAGAACCTGGCCGTCTCTACCTCGCGGGTTTCCCCGCCTACCTTTGCCTTTTCCTGAGGTCTCTCTACGGCCTTTACCACGGCCTTTTCCCCCAAAGAATATCTCATCATGTTGTTCATCTGAGAGCCCTGGAGAAATGCCGCGATGCCTCGTCCGTTCAACCTCCGACGACCTCGCTTGCCTTTACCCTTTCCTTTAAAACTTCTACGTATCCTCCTTCTAACACGACGCACTGGTTTTCGTGTGAACCTCCTCCACCTTCGTTTAGCCTGTTGTAATAACCAGAACAAATGTTCAGCACGCTGATTGTCGTTATCCATATTCATAATATCTGACCAATCTAAAGCTTCAACACCATCTGATGATATAGTGTCTGTATCGGTGCCGGAGTCGAAATCCTCGTCTCCCAAGTAGGTGGATACACCGTCGGTTAGGGGGTTTGATTCCCCCCATAAAGAACGGTGTGGTTGTGGTTCTCTAGAAGGAGGGCTGGTTGCCCAGCTTGGTTGTGATCGATCCCCTGCTAATAACGCAGTGGATTCACCTGGGTCATCGGCCCATATGCTTGAGGGCCCGTTTCCAGGCTGGGCTTCAGTAGTCAAGGTAGTGTAGAAATTTCCACTACCAGATCCCCTTCCCCTTCCAAACACAGATCCTATGTTACCAGGAGACCGTTCGGATAGGTGGCCTATCGAACGCATCCTCTCCAGCAACTCATCATACTGTTGTTGTGTTCGGGGCATTTGGTGATTGAGTGGCTGTAAGAGTTGCATGGCTCGCTGGTTGCCGACGCCTAAGGCGCGGAATAGGATAGTGGTTAGCAGTTGGAAAGTTGGGAAGGTCGAATCCCACCGACTGTGCCTCAAGTCGGGCCATTTCGAATCGGGTAAGGGTGACATCGACTCGTTCCCCGTGAGGCACGTGGAAGTCGATGAACTGTGTGCCGGAAGTGAGCTGTCGCTCATCTTCCAGGCGTTCGAACTTCATGCTTAGGAGGAACATGATGTAGGTCACTGGGTCTGTGTGGACCCCATCGATGTCAGCACCATAGTTTATAATGTCAGGCGGTACCCTCATGGCGAGTGTCCTCGCTAGGCCACCTAGGCCGCGTTGTATTGCGGCCGCTTGGGCCTGTGGCGTCATACGTCCGCTTGTAACGTTGAGCCATGCGTTGACCTCGTAGATGTACTCACGAAAAGGTACATTACCTTGAGGGTCCCAATATGGGCCATGTGTTTGCCCATCGGTGCTGTTTTCTCCACGACGCATGTGTCCGATTGCTGCCCCCAGCGCGAACCATATAATAGCGAAAACGACTAGCCCGAGAATGTGTAAAGAAGGACGGTTATGATGCGCGTTGTCGCGCTGGGGTAGCGCCTTGTCGAGTCTTCGAGGCGCTCTGTCTGGCGGGTCTCCCCGCCCCTGCTTCAAGTATTGCGCTGTTAGCTCGTTGCCGAGCGGTTGGTGGTAACGCAATGATGAAGCGTATATGGTACCAGTCTGGTCGTCTAGACGTCGTACCTCTCGTGTTGCTTCTTGCTCTTGGATAGATCCTCGTAAACGTACTGGGGGTGGTGGCGCAGGGTGGTAGATGGTCACGAAGATCGTGCCGAAGAATATGAGGCTAAGAAGAGCAAGAGCTGACCACACGAGAGTGCGGCCAGCTCCGCTACCAAGTCGAAAGTGAGCCTGGTAGCTCAAATATGGCATATAGCCTGGCAAATTGCGTCCATCGCTCTGCTGTGAAGGTACAGTATGAGGGGTGGACGGATAAGAACGGATAAGATCGATGTAATGATCTTTCCAGCACATAGCGAACACTCGCGGTGTCCGGGCAAATAGGGCGCGCGTGCCTTGGGCCAAAGGCAACGGCGCGCGCGAACTATGCTCCCGATACTATAACATCTCCCAAAGACCTACCCTTAAAGTCCCCCCACTTCGCTCGAAGTGAACATCATTGTGAACACCATTGGGCTTTCAAAGATATTGGGGGCATCCTGAGGAGGCTTTGGGCCATCATGGCTCCAAGATTGCTTCAGAGAGCCCAAGATGGCTTGCAGTGTTGCTCAATATATCCCAAGATGGCTCCACGAGGCCACCACGACAACCCCTCGAAGTGGCCCCACGACAACCCCAAGACGGCCCCGAGTGGCCACGGAGCCTCCCAGGGAGGCACCCAATATGCCAATCTCCTTCCACCGCCTGAGCGCATTCCATGTGTCTGCTTGCTCGCCGTGCTGCTTCCGATGAGGTCCACGGCGGCTGCGTTCGATATGCTCCCAAGGCAGGCCCTCTATAGACGGGTACTCCAACATCGCCACATAGTGGGTCATAGCGGTTCCAAAACCCTGAACCAAAGCATCTTGCCATTTCTTGTGGAACCGACTTCTACGTCTGCCGGCTTGCGCCGAGGAAGAGACATCAACTCCTTCGACCGTCGAAGGCGAAGCCCTTTCTTGAATGCATCACATGGACATCACCTGTGAGCGCCCGCGCCCGCGCTACTCCCGTGCCGACATCCCGAACGACATCAGGTCTCTCGGATAGTTCTCTCAAGCGCGTTTGTTAGCCATCATGATCCTCCAACGTTGAGGCCTTGCATTTTCAATGCGCATTCTGTGCTGTGCAAACCGTGTGTGGTGCGAAACGTGCGGCGCAACTTATGCGATGCTAGCTGTGTGGCGCAAACCATGTGCGGTAACCTGTTTGGTGCGCTCTACGGTGTGCGCTCTCAGTGATACCATTATTGTGGTGGAAGCCATAAGGACGAATCCTCTTCCTTCACCGTCCCCTCCCCATCGTCTTCCCAATCCTCCTCCCCCTCTCCCTCCTGCTCCTCGACTTTCCTTATTACCTTGCTGCCTTCGCCGCTTCCGCAGGCTCGGTGCCGGACATGCGCGGCAGCGCGACTCCTCAGTAGACAAACAATTGTCCTCTGAGGGCCGTTTTGCAAAGGGTTCACCCTCCATCCTTGTATTTGTCACAGCTATCTATTATCTTCCGGTCATGGATCTGTAGGAAGTCTCCATCGAGAGGCGAACTTTGAAAAGGAACCGCTCTTCAACAGTGTGATTGCTGCGCGATGGTGAACTTTGTGATCGGGACGACGCATCGAAACACAAATGAAGAGCCCCAAATGTGAGACGCAGCTACCTTCCAGCCATGCAACTGCGGCAGATGTTCTCCACGAATGTGCGCGGCCCTACGGCAGAGCCACACTTTTAAGACCACCCACCCTCTCATCAGCCCGAACGGAAGCGTCTGCCGCGCCACACCGACTCCAAAATTCCAGCCACGCGCTCGGACTGCAGGTGCAAAAAAAAAACAAACCACGGCCCAGGGAGCTGCGCATCCACGGAATCGCCGCCACCAGGCGAATCTCCGAGTATGGTCTCGGTCATATCCGAGGCGTCGGGACGAGACTGGCCGCGTGGCCCGCTCCCTGGAGCAAGCGCGCGCATCCAAACCTTTTGGTCGGCGGGTCGAGGGCGAGCCTCTTCCGGTTAAGAGCTAGGCGGGGCGCGCAAAACACTAATTGGGCAGACAGGGCGCGGGCGGGAGGAAGAGGAGCAGGAGGAGGGCGGAGGAGGGCGGCGGAGGGCGGAGGAGGAGGAGGAGGGGAAGGAGGAGGAGGAGGAGGAGGAGGAGGAGGAGGAGGAAGCCTCAAAACGTGCCTCCAAACACGCAGCGGCAACGCAGTGTCGGCCACACGGCAGACGCTCCGATCGAGCCGCGGAGCGCGCTGGCCCACCCTCGCGCAGAGCAGGGCCTCCGACCCTCATGCTCTGCGATGGCCGCCTGGCCCCCCTCCCCCTTCGCGGCCTTGCCTTCCTGACTACCTACCAGACCACCCCAACACAACCCGAAGACCCCAATTTCGGGTTGGGGGGGTACGGGTTCCATCTATGTTTTTTCAATGTTCCCCGACCCCCCTGGAAATGGAGGGCAAATTGAAGCCTTCGGGTTGGGTTGGGGTGGTTTGGTGGGTGGTGACTTCCCCTCTTCACGTCTCGTGCCGCGGAATACCTCGCCATCGCTCGGACGCCGAGTCCCCGTGCACTGTTCAGCTTCGTGCGCGCAGCTTCTCGCAGGATGAGACCCAACAAGCTTCTCGACGGCCCTCGCCCGCCGAAAAATGCACACGCCCGAGCGATGCCAAGATACTTCGCTGCACAGTGGCCCCCTGTGCTGCCCGTCCGACCTGCGCGAGCGCCAGGTCCGCGGCAAAGAGCTGTCAGGCCCTGCGAGCGCCCTGCTGGGTCGCACGGTGAGCCATCGGGGGCTCGGCCGCCGCTCCCTGCGCACCCCGTCCGGTGTGGAGGAGCTGCGGGCGTCCTGCTGGGTCGGGCGACGGGCCAGCGAGCTCGGCAATCACCCCCTGCACACCCCCGTCTGGTGTGGAGGAAGTGCCCCGCTTGCCACGTCCTGCGAGAGCTCGACAGCCACCCCCTGCGCATCCCTTGAGGTGTCGAGAAGTGTTTTGGTGCTTTGGTGCATCGTCAGCCTGGGGCGTCTGCACCTCGCCAGGCCCGTGCGCAGGGCCCTCGAGCGGGTTGTCCGCCTGCCGAGCCGTCTCGGGGGCACGCCCTGCCTCCACCGAGCTGCCGTGCTGAGGTTGCGCCCACCAGCACCCCAGGGCAAGGGTCGAGGGCCCTCCGTGGCCTCACCCAGCCCCAGGCCCCACGGGCGGGCCCCTTTTTAGCTCCAGGCCCCGAGGGGGGGGGGGGGGGGGGACAAAAACCTGAAACCACGCACAGCCCACCAGAAGCGTTAACACGACACCTAAACACGGCACCGACTGCAAACAGCGACGGCGCAAGCAGGCGAGGCTCAGAGGATCAGATTGTGAGGCCATCCGCGCAGCTGGCACTCGCGCTGCTATCTCCATACAATACCTGGGTCAGGGCGGCCTCGATTGAAATACCCTCGGAAATAGGCCTCCAACTCGACCCTTTTCTGCCGCTCGTCTGCCGTGTACTCGCGGCGGCCTTCGCCACGGGCCGAGCTGGAGGGAGGGCGGGGGAGCGGCGGAGGCGGCGGCGGCGGCGGGCGCGCCATCTGCGGCTCGAAGGGCCGCTGCACCCAGGCGCCGAAGGAGCCGTCGAAGCCGTCGTCGTAGGCGCAGAGGTCGTTGACGTACGGCCAGACTCGCCACCAGGCGTCGAAGATGGTGCGGAGGCGCTGCGTGGCCGCCTTGGCCTCGCTCGCGAGCTCCGCACGGCGTCGCAGGAAGGGCCGACTCGTTCGCCCCCCACGCTCCCTCTCGGCCACAAGAGCGGCCCAGGCCGCGGGAGGGCCGAAGTACTCGTCCGAGGCATCGCCCTCCATGTTGTCACAACTCGCGCCCTCCTGGCGGTAGCCGTGGTCGCAGTCGTCGCCGCTCGGCACCGTGAGGCCGAAGTGCTTGCCCGAAGCACCGCCCTCCATCGTGCCGAAGTTGTCGCCCTCCTGGCGGGGGCCCTGGCCGGCGTCGACCTGCAGCGTGAGGCCGAAGTGCTTGTACAAAGCATCGCCCTCCATCTTGCCGACGCCCTCCTCCTTCGACTCCATGGCCTCCTTCCTAACCTCCTCCTCGTCCTCGGCAGGGGGATGGACCTCAAGGCCCTTCACGGCGGGCACCCCGTGCGCGCCGTCGAAGGCCCTGCCAGCCGCGGGAGGCTCCCCCGCAACCTCCTGCCTGAGCCCCAGGCCCAGGGAGGCGTTCAGGAGCGGCGCCGCCGTCGGCTGCTCGGAGGTCTCGTCCCCGTCGTCGTCGTCGCCCAGCCCCTTCCCCGCGCTCTCCAGCGCCTGCCAGCCCTCAGGCCAAGACAGCGCCTCCTTCCGCAGCTTGGTGGGCGTGGTGGGCGCCACCTGCCGCGGCGCTGCTGGGGGGGTACACGGGGCCGGGGCTCCCAGCCTGGGGCCGCTCGCCGCCGCCGAGATGGCGGCATCGCAGGCCCGCGCAAAGCCCGCCGCTGGCGCCACGGCAGCATGCCAGGCCGCATTCCTACGACGCCTGGCGCTGCCTGGCACGCGAGCGCCCGCCGTTGCCAGCCGCAGGGCGGGTCGGGCGGCCCGCTCACGGTCCTGCCATGATCCAGGCGCAGCTGCCGCCGCCAGCAGGTTGCGCAGCGCGGCCTCGCAGGCCTGCTGACACCTGCGGCGGGCAGCTCTCCGCGCCGCCGTCGGGCCCAGGATCGCCTCGTCCTGGGCGCGGCGCGTGCTGGGCCGCCACACCGCGGGCAGCCCCCCGAGCCCAGCCTCGCTGTAGCCGAGCCCCGCCGCCATGGCAGGGGCCGCGGCAAGGCGGGGGAAGGAGACAGAGCCGCTCTCTGCGCCCGCCGAGATGACGGGACTCTACAGGGAAAGACAAACCGCGCTCCTGCCCGCCTTGGGCACCAAGGCAGGCTTGAGCCAAAATGGCTACGGAGGTGTCGAGAAGTGTGTGTGTGTGTGTGCGTGTGTGTGTGCGTGTGTGTGCGTGTGTGTGCGTGTGTGTGCGTGTGCGTGTGCGTGTGTGTGTGTGTGTGTGCGTGTGTGCGTGTGTGTGTGTGTGTGCGTGTGTGCGTGTGTGTGTGTGAGTGTGTGTGTGTGTGTGTGTGTGTGGGGCGTATGTGTGTGCGTGTGTGCGTGTATAGTGTGTGCGTAGGCGCACGCGCTCCAATGCTTTTCTGGCCTTCTACGCCCTGTCGCCGCGCGCAGGGCCGCGACGCCAAACAAGTGCGTGTGTGTGTGTGTGTGTGTTTTCTTGCGTGTGCGTGTGTGTGTGTGTGTGTGTGTGTGTGTGTGTGTGTGTGTGTGTGTGTGTGTGTGTGTGTGTGTGTGTGTGTGTGTGTGTGTGTGTGCGAGTAAAACAGATGGGGAAAAAAGCGTCTGCGACGCGGGAACCCCAACCCCAATTAAGTAGCATGTGGGTAATGAAACCGATAGCTTAGGAATCGCCCTGATATTCTCCAGATGTTCCGGAAAGGGTGCCAAGGGGCGCGATGGGCGGGCCCATTTCCTTGTGCGGCGAAGGTCAGGATGACGTGAGACACAATACGAACTCTTCGAAATCATTTCACGTTGATTGCTTATGGCGTATCACCCGCAAGCGCGGATGTCCCGTCACGCGCATGCATGTATAAAGTGGTTTAGCCAGTCCATACGGAAGGCCGTGCCATTTTTCCACTGTCGCGCGCACCTGGGCAATTGCGCTGCTGAGAATTCGCGCGCGCGCGCGGGTGGTCCACACCGTGTTATTGGAGGATTATGGTGGCCGCTTACCGCGAGCGCGTGCAAGCGTTGATGGGGACTAGCGCGCGCGTGGCCTGCCTTGTATTAGGTCGGGCATGCCCTCCTACAGGCGGATTCTGGGCGAAACATACAAAGTAGTCCAACCATTCGCCCAACATGGCCAAACACAGTCGACATTCGTCCCCATACTATTTACCTAACAGCGAAGACTGATAGGTTTCTGATAGGCTCAAAAGAGAGCATCATGACTCCTCAGGGGGGTCGGGGCGGGACCCGGGGCGGCTGCCGTCGAAGCCCAAATCGCTTGAACATCCTCGCAAAATCGCTCTTGGCGCTGCTAGAACTCCATTCCCGGCGTACATTTTGGATGCCCGGAGCCAACTGTAGGCCACTTCGTGGTCTTCGAGTTCCCAGAACTCCATTCCCAGCGTACATTTTGGATGCCCGGAGCCAACTGTAGGCCACTTCGTGGTCTTCGAGTTCCCAGAACTCCATTCCCGGGCTACATTTTGGATGCCCGGAGCCAACTGTAGGCCACTTCGTGGTCTTCGAGTTCCCAGAACTCCATTCCCGGGCCACATTTTGGATGCCCGGAGCCAACTGTAGGCCACTTCGTGGTCTTCGAGTTCCCAGAACTCCATTCCCGGGCCACATGTTGGGTGCCCGGAGCCAACTGTAGGCCACTTCGTGGTCTTCGAGTTCCCAGAACTCCATTCCCGGGCCACATTTTGAATGCTGAGGCAGGCTGAGGCTGAGGCTGAGGCAGGCTGAGGCTGAGGCAGGCTGAGGCTGAGAACGAGGCTGAAGGCAGACTGAGGCTCAGGCTGAAGCAGGCTGAGGCTGAGGCTGAGGCTGAGGCAGGCTGAGGCTGAGGCTGAGGCAGGCTGATGCTGAGGCAGGCTGAGGCTGAGGCTGAGGCTGATGGCTGAGGCTGAGGCAGGCTGAGGCTGAGGCCGAGGCTGAAGGCACTGAGGCTGAGGCTGAAGCAGGCTGAGGCTGAGGCTGAGGCAGGCTGAGGCTGAGGCTGAGGCAGGCTGAGGCTGAGGCAGGCTGAGGCTGAGGCTGAGGCTGAGGCTGAGGCAGGCTGAGGCTGAGGCCGAGGCTGAAGGCAGACTGAGGCTGAGGCTGAAGCAGGCTGAGGCTGAGGCTGAGGCAGGCTGAGGCTGAGGCTGAGGCTGAGGCAGGCTGATGCTGAGGCAGGCTGAGGCTGAGGCTGAGGCTGATGCAGGCTGAGGCTGAGGCAGGCTGAGGCTGAGGCCGAGGCTGAAGGCAGACTGAGGCTGAGGCTGAAGCAGGCTGAGGCTGAGGCTGAGGCAGGCTGAGGCTGAGGCTGAGGCAGGCTGAGGCTGAGGCTGTGACTGCGACTGCCGTTGCCACTGCGACTTTCATCGCGAATGCGACTGCGACTGCGAGAACAGCATAATTCTACAACTGGATTCTCATGTGAATCTTAAGGGGAATGCTTCCAAATATGCTCCTACACATAGCTGTTAGGTTGCTTTGCCGGGATAATTTGTTGATTATCTTTGAACACTCCTCCTGTAGAGGGACAAGCCCGACTTGAGCATTCTGTTGCTTGACAGGAGCGATGCCCCTTCAGAGCATGCGCGCGGCGCCCGCTCGGCGCGCGCGCGCGTGGCCCGCGCGGCACGCGCTGGGGCGCGGCAGAACTGCAGGGGCTGCCCGGTGGCTTCGGCAACGCAGCCGTCTGAGAGCATGCGAAGGTGGAGTCGGGCGTGCCCCCCCCGACAGGCAGATTTTGGAGGACACATCGGACATAGTTCACACATGCTCCCGAACTACCAAGAGATACTTCAACAGATCGTCCCCAGCCCAGGCTATGTTTTGACTGTGTTTGAAGATTCCTCCCGTAGAGGGACAGGCCCGACTTCATGCAAAGGATCCGCGCTCCTGGAGCCACGCTATCTCGTGCAGCAGAAACAAACAGCAATGGATTGCGTTCCCGAGGCCACGTTTCCTGAACAAACGAGTTGGTCTGCGCTCCCGGATCAAAGGAGAAGAAACGCCATTCACATAAACGTGTGGCGCTCCGCGCGGATGGCTTGGACCTGCGCCGGCTCCCTCTCTGGCGCGCGGAGCGCGCCAGGGGCGGCGCAGGAGGCGCCGCCAGGGGGCCCAGCGCGGACCCAAGAAATCCGCGCGGAGCACCAACAGTTTATGTTTATGGCTTTCTTCTTCTTCTTCTTCGAGCAACTTGGCCCGCGCTCCCAAAGTCACAATCCTCAGGAACATCAGTGGATCCGCGCTCCCGAAGCCATGACCCACGGTATAAACCACGACGGATCCCTGCTTCCGAGCTTCCGAGATGGCCGAGGCATGCCTAAGCAGGAGCCGAAGTAGGGCCCGAAGATGCCAACATCTGTGACTTGCATGGCGCTGCTGAAGGATTTGGGCATCTTCGCGATTTCGGACTTCTTTCAGCTCCAGCCGACGGCCCAACAGGGCCTCCACCTTGCCCGATAGTTTTAAGATGGTCTGAAGAAGACCTAAGACGTAGAGTCACCAAACGGCCCCCACAGAGCCCCAAGCTGCCTGAGAGGGACTCCGAAGGGACGGCACCCAAGACTGCTCTATAGGGCGCCTCGACGGCCCGAATAGGGCCAGAAGATGTCAAGTCTGTGATCTGTACTAGGTTACTAAAAAGGATTTTTGCGTTTTCGCGATTTCGGGCTCCCTTCGGCCTCAGACTGCCCCATGAGCCTCCAAGATGGCCCCAAGACGGCCCAGGAGGGCTCCCAATTGCCCAATAGTTACTCATTTAAGATATCCTCAAGACGTCACAAAAAGGCTCCGAGACGGCCCCCAGAAGGGCTCCAAGCTGCGGAGGAGAGGCTCAGGAGGGACTGGACCCAATTAAGACGGCCCTACTGTAGTAGGGCGCCTCGACGGCCCAAGGCGGCCCCACAACGGCCTCGACAGACTTTCTAGACGGCCAAGATTGCCCCACGACGCCCAAAAGAACCGCAAGACAGGTCAAGAGGGCCCCAAGACGGCCCAAGAGGGCCCCAAGCTTCCTACCGTCGCCCCTCGAACAATCGCCTGCGAGAATGCCAGGCTGGCACGGTGGCGGGACTTGCCGCAAGCAGCTGGGCTGCTTGACTAGGAAAATGACCAGGGCTGGGTCCCGTCTGGTTAGGCTTTTTGGGCGAGGGGGAAGAACTGGCCCAGTCTGGCCCTGAGCAGGGGAAGAGGGCGAAAGATAGAGAAGAGGCGGGCGACGGACGGGGGCACGGCGAGTGACGAGCGGGACGAGGGGCGGGAGCGGGGGAGTGGAAGAGAGACGGGAAGGGGTGGTCCTTCAACATTGTCCCGCCGACTGGACGATCCCACCAGCTCCCCTCTCCCCCGTCTCCGGGCCTCCTCGATCGCGTCGCACACTACCTGGACAGTCACGCCAGCGATCCCATTTGGGATGGCCTCAGAAACATCCCGATCCAATCAGATCCGCGCCTTGCTCCTGCTCCTGATCGGGCTGGCCCTGTCCATCCGAAAGCGCGGCACACCATGCTGCTCGCGCGCCCGAGCGACCGCTGCGCTCCTGACCGGTCGATGGATCGGCGGGGGCACCGGCCTGGCCGAGCCCCGAGCAAGGGGATCCGAGTCTCCTAAGCAAATTGCACCCGCGATGATGCTGATCGTGTACTCGCGCTGGTCCGGCTCCCACATCCAGTGGTCTGAGGGGAGCCGGGCTTTGGCAGGGGCCCTGGGGCACACAAGTAAATAAACACAAAAAACAGGATCCCCCATCTTTGCCCATATTTTCTGGAATTCTGTCTTCCCCCCCACTTTCATATTTTCCTATCTGTTTGGGGGATCGACGATGAATTGTGTGTTGCATGTTTTTTTGTCCGAAGGCGCGCCGCTGGATGACCCCAAGGGGGGGGGGGGTTGGGGCCCCCCCCCGTTTCCCCGATCCGTCGTCGGGAACCCCCCCCCCCCCCCTCCCCCCTTTCCCGATTCGTCGTCGGGGACACCCCCCCCCCCCTCCTTTCCCGGTCCGTCGTCGGGGACCCTCCCCTCCCTCCCTGTCAAAAGGGGGGAGGGGGGGGGGGGTCCGACCCCCCCCTCCCCCTTTTGGCCGCCAAATTCGAAGCCCCCCCCTCCCCTTTCGCCACGGCGCCCCCGGTCTCCGGAACCCGACCCCGACCACCAATAACACGAATCCTCACCCTTACCCTAGCCCCCAACCCGAAACCCAAACCCAAACCCTAGTCCCAAACAGCACTCGCTACTCATTACGCACTACCCACTACCCACAATTCACTACTCGCTACTATCACTATTCACTTCTCACTATTCACTACTCACGACTCCCAACTCACTACCCAGAACTCACTACACACTACCCACTACTCACAATTCCCTACTCCCTACTCACTACTCACTACAAACAACTCACTACTCACTACCCACTACTCAATACTCAAGAGTCACTAAACACAACTCACAACCCACTACTCACTAATCACAAATCACTACTCACTACCCACTTACCACTACTAAGTACTCACACCTTGCTATTCACTACCCACTGCCCACAACTCAGTACTCACCATCCACAACTCGCTACTCGCTACTCCCCACTCCCTACACAGTACTCACCACTCACTACTCGCTACACAGTACCCACTACTCACTACTCTCTAATCCCAACGCCCTACTCGCTACCCGATACGCACTATTCACTGCACACTACTCACTACTCACTACGCGCCCACTACTCACCACTCACTACTTCCTACTCCCTACTCACTACTCCCAAAGCACTACTCACTACTCATTACCCAGTACTCAATACTCACTGAACACTACCCACTGCCCGCTACTCACTACTCACTAAGCACTACTCACTACCCACGAGCCACTATCCACTACGTACTACTGAGTATTCAAAGTTTACTACTCACTACGCACTGCCCACAACTCACTACTCACTATCCACTACTCGCTACCCGATACGAACAATCACAACCCACTACGCAATATTCGCTACTCACTACTCCCTACTCCCAACTCACGAGCCATTCGTCGCAAGTCGCTACTCACTACTCACTACTCACGAATCACTACTCACTACTCACTAATTTATACTCGCACCTCCCTACTCACTACCCACTACTCAATACCCACTTCTCGCTTCTCACTACTCACTACCAACGAATCCCTACTCACTACTCACTACTCAGTACTCACTACTCGCTACTCCCTACTCGCTACGCACTACTCCCTACTCACTACTCACTCCTGACTACTCCCTCCTTACTACTCGCTACTCACAAGGCCCTACTCGCTACTCACTACTCACGACTCGCTACTCCCTACTCGCTACTCACCACTCACTACTCACTCCTCTCTACTCACTACTCACTACTCACTACAAACAACTCACTACTCAATACCCACTACTCAATACTCAAGATTCACTAAAACACAACTCACAACCCACTACTCACTAATCACAAATCACTACTCACTACCCACTTACCACTACTCAGTACTCACACCTTGCTATTCACTACTCACAGCCCACAGCTCACTACTTACCATCCACTACTCGCTACTCGCTACTCGCTACTCCCTACACAGTACTCACTACTCACTACTCACTACACAGTACTCACTACCCACTGCTCTCTCATCCCAACGCCCTACTCGCTACCCGATGCGCACTATTCACGACACACTACTCACTACTCACTTCGCTCCCACTACTCACCACTCACTACTTCCTACTCCCTACTCACTACTCCCAACGCACTACTCACTATGCACTACCCAGTACTAAATACTCACTGAACACTACTCACTGCCCGCTACTCACTACTCACTAAGCACTACTCGCTACCACTATCCACTACTTCCTACCCAGTACTCACAGTTCACTACTCACTACGCACTGCCCACAACTCATTACTCAATATCCGCTACTCGCTACCCAATACGAAGTATTCACTACCCATTACGATCTACTCGCTACTCACTACTCCCTACTCCCTACTCACTAGTCGCAAGTCGCTACTCACTACTCACGACTCACGACTCACTACTCACTAATTTATACTCGCAACTCCCTACTCACTACCCACTACTCAATACTCCCTTCTCGAAATTCACTACTCACTATTCACTACTCACGACTCCCTATTCACTACTCACTACTCACTACTCGCTACTCCCTACCCGCTACGCACTACTCCCTACTCACTACTCACTACTGACTCCTGACTACTCCCTCCGCACTACTCACTACTCACAAGGCCCTACTCGCCACTCACTACTCGCTACTCCCTACTCGCTTCTCCCTACTTGCTACGCACTGCGCACTACTCACTACTCACTCCTTGCTATTCGCGACTGTCTACTCCCTCATCCCTACTCCCTGCGTGCTACTCACTATGCAGTACTCTCTACACACTACTTTCGTCACTACTCACTACTCATAATCCCTTACCCTCTACTTCCTTCCCACTACTCACTACCCACTACTCACTACTCACTACTCACTTATCTCTACGCACTTCTCACTACTATCACCACCCATTACCCACTATCCACTACTCACCACTCACGATTCAGTGCGCACTACTCACTATCAAATACACACTAGTCACCAATCGCTACTCAAAACACTCTACTCTCTACTCACTAATTACGCGAAAGGCCCCCTCCCCAGTCACCTGTTCGGCGCAAAGGGGGGAGGGGGGGGGGTTCGAACCCCCCCCCCCCTTGCCAGCGCCAAGGGGGGAGGGGGGGGGATGGGGTCCGGAACCCCCACCCCCGCCTTCAAGGGGGGGAGGGGGGGGGGAACCCCCACCCTTCCTTAAGGGGGGGAGGGAGGGGGGGGGGTCGAAAATCTCACCCCGCCTTTGAAGGGGGGGAGGGTGGGGGGGGGTTCTGTGAGCACACCCCCTTTTGTGTATTCAGGGCCATCCACTGGCGCGCTCTCTTTTTTTCCCTCCCGAGCTCTGGCAGAGGACGGGTCGCGTAAAACGGGGAAAAAGGACGGGACAGACGCTGGGGCCGGCGTCCAACAGGCGCCCGGGACGGGGCGATGATGAGGAAGCAGAAGAAGGGGAGGAGGACCTCCTTCCGCCTTGCGGCCTCCCTGCACCTTCCTCCCTCCCTTCCTCCCTCCCTCCTTCGCAACTGCATCCTGAGTCTCCCTTCCTGCCCCTCCCATGTCACGCGCGTCCTGTTCTCCCGATCATCACGCGCCACGGCGGGGGCCCGAAGAGCCGGGTGGCGTTGGTCTTCAGGTAGGCCAGCGCCGCGAGGCCCCCTTGCGAGGGAGAGGAGGATGAGAGGCAGGAAAAAGGAGGAGGAGGAGGAGGAGGAGCAGGAACAAGGGGGGAGGAGGAGGACAAAGGGAGGAGGGAGAGGAGGAAAAAGGGAGGAGGAGGAGGAGAAGGAGGATGATGATGAGGAGGAAGGCTATTGGGCTACTTTGCTGTTGGGGCCTTGGAAGGAATCCCTCGCATCTGGCGAACCGACTACTTGATAGTCAGGCTACTGGGGCTCAACACTCTTATGAACACAGGGAGCCGAGCATCGTGCTCACGGCGCCTCTCGGCACGGCAATACTCATTCTCGCGCCAAGCGGGTCAACGACGCCGCGCAACTGCGCCATACGGTACGTTCTCACACGACGAAGCAGGGTCGGCGCTGCGCTTCGAGGTCTCCGAGGCAACCTCCTTTCCCACAAAGCGCGGACCTTCAACGACGGCTCGATAGGGGCCCCGAGCTTCGGGGGAGGGGGCGCCGTCGAGTTAGGGTGCAAGCCTTGTCGAAGCCTGGACCTCTGGGTGGCCAGCCCAGGATGCAAGGGCCTGGAGCAATGCCCCGCGACTCCCTTCCCAGGTCCATGGCTGCGCTGGACACTCGCACCGCACGAGATACATAACAAGACTGGAACCCCCGACCCATCTCCGACAACGGGGGCCTGCACGACCTTTTGTCTGGACAACTTCCAGGTCTGGCAACTCATCCGCTTGAGCCCCGAGAAGTGGGGCACCAGGTCAGGAGGAGAAACCGAGGAACCAAGGGAGGAGCCGACAGCAGCACAACCAGAGCTAGCCGAGCCCTGCCCGCTCTCAACATAAAGACGCGCGGGCATGGCATCGAACAAGCCCTCCCGCTCTCGCAGCTCGGCGAGATCCTGGGGGACCTGTCCTGACAGGTCGAGAACAACCTCCGCAGTCACATCCGCCCCCCTCCGAGTCCCAGAACCCACTATCGTGCCGCCAGTCTTGCAGGCGACCTAGCCACCCAGCGGTGTGCACCACACGCCGCTCGCAGCCCTCGACGAAAAGCTCCTGCTCCTCCTCCATGTCCCAAAGCCTGGCCCCCTTGCGGGCCCACTCGTCAGCCAGCAAGTTGCCTTGGAGCATCCACGGGTCCTCCAGAGACGTTGCTTCCTGGGGACCTCGATGGGCTCTCACTTTCACGACCTTAGCCGTGTCGCCAAATTTTGGGCCACCAGAGCCCAGCGCACCCCCTCCCCCGAAGGCCCTGGGAACGGCCGCCGCTTGCGAGTCGCTCCTGGGGGGACCGCCTCGTTTGAGAGGCGGTGAGGCAATGCGTCGGTTCCCGACCAAAATGCTCGGCCAGCTCGACGCTCGGCCGCCGGAAGATGAGGATGAGGATGAGGAGGAAAACCAGGAGTGCGAAGAGGAGGAGGAGGGGGAGGAGGAGGAGGAGGAGGAGGAAGAGGAGGAGGAAGAGAAGGGGAGAAGGAGGAAGAGGAGGAGGAGGACGAGGATTTTTTCTCAGGCCCTGCTTCCTCCAACGCTTAGGCTTTGTCTGCTACCACTCCAAGCGACTCGACGGGCAGGGTGAGGTCTTGAGTGCAGTCGGAGCTTGGCTTGACAAACTCGTCGGACAATCGCTGTGCTGCCCAACCGCGCAATTGTGTGCGCGTGAACAACATCGTTGCAACAACTTGCATATCTGAGCAGCGCAATGGGAACATGACAATGAACAACAAAAGTGATGAGCTCTGATAACCAATATCCAGAAATGCCGGTGAAGAAAAAGAGCCCAGGTGGGAGAGCAAAAGGCCGTGGAGGCTCGGGAGTGTCGCATAATGCTTCAAATCGTTTTTACCCCTTCTCAACGCAGGACGGGCACAAACGAATACCCGAATACACAAACGCGAGGTGCACAAAGAAAACGGGAAGTAGTAGATACGCCACTGCATGCAATGCGCGAGATGGGCACACCAAGATATGCTTGAGATTTTCCCCCCACGTACTTGGTACAGCTAATGATCTGCTCGACATGAGCTGGTGTGATACCATGGCGCCATGGCCTCAACCTCTGAAGCAGACTGCGGGCAGTGCTCGAGCGGAGTCTGGATGGCAAACCTCAACTGCTTCTCGCAGAACTTCTGGATCCCTTCGGTCGATATCTGCAGGCAACAGGCTGAAGACTATAGACGGTACAAGGGCCGTCCGCAAGACAGAAGACACGAAGCCGTGTTTCGACCGGCTCTTTCATCCCACGCGCGATCGCCACCTCATCACTTCCTCTAGTCTCCTGCGGACGGCTTCGGGCAGAGCGAAGAACATCACACTTCGAGGGCAAGCGAAGCTGTCCGGCCACAACAAGGACGGAGAGGTTCGGGAACCAAATAGTCATACCAAGACTGCGAAGCCCCATCAGCAGATGTTTCGAGAAACTGTGACGCTGAGGATCGGTCAAGAGCTCGGCGGCACGCTCGCTGCCAACACCCACTTGTTCCAGCCCCTACGCTGCAGCCTCCACCGCGTTCGTCAGCACAAACCTCCCTTTAGTAAACCTTCCCTTATTGAAAACGGCTTGGACCGAAACCGACGGACCTGGACCAGCAAAACTGACGGCCGCGACGCCCTCTCGCGAACCGAAAACGGCCACTTCCTTAATCGACGTGTCAGGGCATGAGGTCTGTCAACCTCCGATACATGAGGAGGAGGAGGAGGAGGAGGAGGAGGAGGAGGAGGAGGAGGAGGACGACGATGAGGATGAGGAGGGCGAGAAAGAGGGACGACGAGGACCTCTGCGAACGAGACCCACTGTGCGCGCAGGGCACCGAGGCCGCCGAGGAGGACGGGGCACGCTCTCGCCGCCACTCTGATGCAGCGTGCATGCTGCACCCTCGACGCTTCGAGCCGCGCTCCGGTGGACCGCCCGCTCGCCGCTGCGGTCAGCCCCCGGGGCGGCGCCCCTCCGTCGCCCGACGACCCCCCCCCCCGGGGGAGCCTGCTGCCGCCAGCACTGCCCGACGAAACGAACGCACAACACAACACAACACAACACAATACACTACACCACACCACACCACACCACACCACACCACACCACAGCACAACACAACACAACACAACACAACACAACACAACACAACACACCACAACACACCACACCACACCACACCACACCACACCACACCACAACACAACACAACACAACACAACACACACACGTACCCGTACCCACAGGGGGGGGACGTTGGAGGGAGGGCGGGCTATGGGTACGGTGAGGGCATTGGACAAGGCAGCATTGGATCAGGAATCCAGGGTCTGGGAGCTGCTGGAACGCCGATCAAGGCTTGGCCATGGCTATCACCGCCGCCCTCATCAGATGAGGAATCCTCCAGGATCTGACGCCTCCCGGGCACATATGCCTTAACGAACGCCCCCACCGTACGGGTGCGGGCTGTCGGACCCCTGGGGGGCGCTCCCGCTCGAGCGGGGACCCCATCCGACAGCACGCACCCATCGCCCCCTCCATCCCTCTTGCCGTCGCTCGGACGTCCATTTCCCGCGCATTTTTCGGTTTCGTGCGTGCCTTTTTTTTGCTCGATGGTCCAGGGGATGGCCCTCGATGGCTCTCGCCGAGAAAAAATGCACACGTCCGAGCGATGCCGAGCCCACCTTTGGGCATGGGTGCGTGTTGCTCGGTCGTCGTTGCCCTGCGAACTGCCTCATGCTCCGAGCCCGTGCTCCGCCTCTGCCTCCCCCGCGGCCGCCTCCTCCTCTCCCCGCGCCTCCCGTGCGCCCATCGGCTGCTCGCTGCTCCACGTTCGGGTCTGCCGCCACGGGCCCGCGCGTTGCGTTCCCCAGCGCTGTGGCCCACACAGGCACCACGTCAGCGCGCGAGCGCGTCCGGTCTGCTCCGGAAGGGGACTCTGAGGAGCTCCGGTCTGACTGGTGTGGAAGAACGCGGGGCTTCAGCGGTGGCCCGGAGAGCCGGCCTTCCTTCGAACCGCACGGCAAGGCGCCGAGGGGGGGCGGCCAGCGATGAGGGCGGAAGGAGGAGGAGGAGGAGGAGGAGGAGGAGGAGGAGGAGGAGGAGGAGGAGGAGGAAGGAGCAGGAGCAGGAGCAGGAGGAGGAGGAGGAGGAGGAGGAGGAGGAGCGGGCTTTTCTCGCCTTGAGCCACTGTATGTTTACGATTCCGTGGCTATAAAAAGTAGCAGCTAGGGCACTCTGCCCTATCCGGCGGTGGCGACGTAGGAAGCCTCAAGAGATGTCTGAAGTCGTACCAGGGGCCTACTATTCTCACTCTGATTCTGTGCTTCTACGACTGATCGGCCCGGCCCCCTCTAGGCCTGGATGTTCACCAGGTCGCTCTCTGTGAACTCGCTCCTGGAGGCTATCTCCTTGACGGTAATCACGTTCTCGATGCCGTTCTTCATTTTGAGTAGTCCTCGATGTCGTATCACTCCCGATAATAAGTAATCCTGCATCTGCGGAAACTGCCCTGGCTTTGTGAGGCTGTCCATGACCATGACTTCGGTCGGCCAGTGGTAGAATCTCCGCAATCGTCCTGATAGTCTGTCCTCTCTGAGACTGAGGATGCTGAGACGCTGTGTCTTGTCAACTGGAATTCCTTTCATGCCCGTCACGAGCTGGTAGAGGTCGTAGCAGTCGGTGATGATGTCGATGGGATGATCGAGTGCCCTTCATCCTGCATTAGCATTAGATTCTTGAGGGCACCTCCTGCAGTCTTCTCCAATGTCGGTCTGGCAATCAACTCGGTGAACCTCAGTGCCGTGAACTGTGCTGCTTGTGAACCTCCGACTGCTGCCACCGTCTCTGCATGACTTGTCGAATATGATACTCGCTTGGACTTCCTGCTCTGACCTATCAGTGGATGAGCTGCACCAAAGACGTTGTCGTATGAGGTCTTCGATACAATGCCATGACGATTGAACTCTACTTCGCGATCTTCCATCAAGAAGAGCCCCTGAGCTTCATGTGCATATGACGTCGTCTTGGTGGCATGAGCTGCATCATTGATAC